AACAGTAATGTATTATACCACTTCGTCCTTTCTATATCAGCACTCTCCTAATAATAAAATATAAAATATGAATTTAAATCTTACTATTGAAGAAGAATTTCTTTCGAGACATATATTTAATTAAATACAAAAATAAATTACCATGATAGGATTCCAGGTTATTAATTGTAATCTTATAATAGGTGATAAAATTTTAGGTATACATAAAGATACGTAAGCTTCCATGTAAGCATCGATATTAGTTTCTCTCCATAATTCCAATTTTGTTAGAATACCTCTCAACGTACAATAATCATCCATTACATCGGCAAATATTTCTTTACCTTCTTTATCAATTTCCTCTAAAAAGAATAAAATAAAAAAAATATATGCATTTCATATATGATATATATATATTTTTTTAAATTAATTCAATTAAAAAAATCAATAATGCAAACACATGTAATAATACAATGTATATTGTTTTATCTTATGACATTATTTTTAAAATGTGACTAATAGGATGTAAATATTTAAAATAATATACAACCTTTAGCTTGCTTAAATGCAAGATTTTGTTGTTCAGTGACCTCATCGTCGCTGGACATGCCATCTATATGCTTCGGTAATGTTGGAGCTAATTCTCTAGCTCTTCTACGACGTGCTCGTCTACCTTCTCTTTCTGTAACTCGACGAATACGTGCTTCAACTTCTGGACCTCTCCTTATTGCTTGACCTCCTATAAAATAACTGTATTATAATATCCATACATACATGAAATTGTTTCAATAATATGCAAAAATAATTGCAATAAATATTTTCACAAAATAAAATTATTAGTAAGTTTATTATATAGAAATGTTCATCAATTAATTTAATAAAGAAATGTAACATTTAATAATTACTGAAATAACTGACTTGCTGCAGTCGTTATTTCTTCAGCTTGATCTCTCGTATCTTGTCTTCTTCTTTCCATTAGTTCTATTGAACGTTCTCCATATAGATCTAGCCAGCGTTGCTCCAATCCAATAACCAAAGGCAGCTAACAAAAAATGATATATTAGAATTCGTACATTACAACAATGTAACAGTACACGAATATATGCTCCAAAAAAATATATATTTTGTTATAGTATATATTTTATGAAAGTATTTTTTTTTGTATGTAATATTTATACTAACATTTTACAAATTTTGCTAGTACACAAAAATGTATTATTTTGTCATAATACTCTCTTATATTGTTCTTTTTTATGTATATGAGCATACAAATTTTAAATAGAAACTACTTACCACTCTTGCAATATATATATTCATTTATATACATTCCAAAATTATACTAATAGCTTTATTATACATTTCTAAAAGAAATACAGAGAAGATTTTGACCCCCGGCAATAGAAACAATGTAAACGGGAACTAAATAAATTTATTTACTTAGTAAAATAATTACTAACGTGATTGCTATCTTCTTTCTTCTATATATGTATTTTATAATATCTACCATATTACTGCATTCATTTTAAGTCGAAAAGAAAGAAATATATATTCAATAATAAATGAATAAGCATAAACAATCTAATATGAAAATGCAACGTTATGCTCTAATATATCTTGAATTTTTTTCTAGCTATAAGAGATTTAATATAAATATCATTTACTTATATTTTAGGGGAGAAAAAAAAGAAAAAAAAAAAGGAAAGAAATAAATTCCTTTCAAATATTCCATTGTAATAAATAATAATACAAAGTCAACTGAATTATTTGAACAGTCGATACAGTTCTGCATGGATAACCCCCGTGCACGTAAAAAAACGTGAGAGCGTATAAACCCACCTTCTCATCAAGACACTCTACCAAGTCAGTGACATACCCACGCAACTCTTGGTAATATCTGAAGCGTTGTGCAAGCTGCGGCGCACGAGCTTCGCCTTCATTCAATTCTTTCACAGTCTGCATTAATTCCTGTTCAAGTTGATGTTGATCTAATTGATGACGCGAATATACTTCTTTTAAACTATCCAACCTATAAATTTTCATTCGTTCATATTATATAATAATGTGTGTTATTGTTACATTGTGTAAAAATACATTAGAAATATATGATATATGTATGTGTGTATGTGCGTATTAATTATTCATATAAAGTATTGAAAAAGGAAATAGAACCTTGCACGCATTTTATTAATAACTTCTTGGGGTGTAATAGGCACAACTTTTGTTGGATCTGGTGGTTGAATAGTAGGTGGAGGTGGTGGTGCTGGCATCATAACCATTTCTAATGGTACTCCAGGTGCAACCATTTGATTAACATTTAATCCTAACGTAAATTGTTGTTGTATCATAGAATCTTGATGAACTGCTGCAATCTACATTACACAATTTATTTTTATCCATCTTTCATTACAATATTATGTTAGTTATCTTTACATAAAGATAGACTACAATAAAATTACCTGAGCTCCTGTAACACCTTTTCGAATTTGTTGAGCTTCCCATTCTTCTTCTTCATTTTCATTTTCACTTTCTTCGTCTGAAACTAAAACACAAAAGTTTATATTACAATTTTTCAAATGTTTTTTTTTAACCTTTGCATTAAGTAATTTGTATATTAAATAACTAACGTTTGCTTGAAACCTGTGATGCGAGAAAAGCTTCTCTCCTCTTCTCTTTATCTCGTGCTTCTGTATTGACGGTCATATCAATACGGTCTTGAGAATCATCGTCACTTCTATCATGATCTTCTTCTCTAATTAACCGTGACTTCCCCTTTTCATCACTGCGAAAAATATATATACATATATATTATAATATGTATATAAATTTTATGAATAAATAAAAAATGATAATAATTTGTTCAATTTTTTATCTGAGTATTAACATTAATCCGTATTAGTTCAATAATTAATGATTACCTTTGTTCATCTAAAGGAATATAATCAGTACCCAATTCTCTAGCCTTTTGTCTACGTTTTCTAGCTGCGTGTATCATAGCAGCGTCAGGTATACAACCACCTAGAAAATATGAACATTACATAATTAAAAAAAAATGATTGAATTCTATTTAATATATAGACATATAACTCACTCTCAAGTAGTATTTTCATCGTATCAGCTTTATCTGTAGATTTTCGAAATTTATGAGAACCTGATTCATCTTCTTCATCAGATGTATAATCGTCCTTGCCTGCTGCTAATGCAGCTCTTCCATTTAAAATCAGTGGTCCGGTATTTTTTATTTTAACCTGTTAATAAAAAATATATCCTTACATTAACAAATTTTTGTAAACAGGATAATACAAATTGCTTTTTGAAATTAAAACTGAAATAGTGATAAGTTGTAGTAATTTGTAGAGCTTTAATCGCATGCTTCTTTGGTAACAACATAAGTTGACAATAAATATAAGAAATGTAGAAATGCAAAACTTCAAGATTGAAATAATTAATGTCTGAAAAAAATTATTTCTATAAACGTTTTTTTTTATAAATAGTAAGAGTACATCGTTGCGTCTTTTTTTGCTATTACAAATAAACAACATAATTAATTTGAAAATATTAATAATAACACATTAACCATACATATATGTATACATATATATATTTCATTTATATATATATATATGAAACTGGCTAGTTTTTGTTTGAATTAATAAAAATAGAATTATTGAAGATTATTTGATTAGTGCAATACCTGATGATATTATGTACACAAATATGAAATATTATTGAATATATATCCTGCATTATATAAAACTCAATTATCCATTCTAGCAAAATGAAATTTCTAAATAATATAGGTGTTAATAAACATGTCTTCTTGTTGTATATACTCCTTGAGTGTATGTCAAATATATGCTTTAAGACGCAATAAACTAATACTTGATTATAAATTGGAGAAATTCTAATAATAATAATACATCATAGAGATAGCTTACTACTAGATCATCTGTCTTTATTTCTAAATCTTTTTCCTGTTTAATGGACATGTTTGCTTGCTCAGAGTCCGCTTGCATTTTCTCTTCACCTTTCTTTTTTCTCCTTTCGTGATCTAGTTGTTTCATCAGTTTTTTGCTCCTCGAAGATTTCTTCACCTTAAAAACTTCTCCATCATCCGCTAAAAAAATTCAACAAATTGTTAACGGTTAATGTTAGAATAAACGCATTGTTTTTAATAAACGTCTTAATTGTCAGCATTAATCCTGAATCGTTTGAGACACTAAAAAAATGTTGTTAAAATGCATAAATTAAAAAGATGAAATTTTTAGATATATCTAAAATATTGAATCATAAGTCTATGTATCTAAGGATACAAAATGTCTTTCATTACTTTATATTACAAATCATAAGAAATGATATTTAAAAATGGTAAATATAACGCTAACCTTCTTCTAGCTCCTCTCCAAAGCTAAGGAGCGTTTGTTTTGGCTTGTCTTTCTTCTTAGCTTTTACTTTGACTGGTTGAGTATCTTCCATTTCCATCCTGTTTTCATTATCCTCGTCCTCATCATTGAAAGGTCGCCGACGTATATTCCGTTTTGGTTTATTAAATAATGACATTGTTAAGCAGCAATAGAGCTCAACACCTAAAAATTTGACTTGACCTATATATATACACTAATTCTGCTGAAATTAAATACCAATAAAAAAGTTACTATTAAGAAGAAACAATAGATGAAAATGATGTTATATCACGTACATTCGCATATATTCAGAAACGTATCTTTCTGGTTATTGTAAGTAAACGATGACAATGATGATGGCGATAAACTCGTCCATACAAGATTTCACGAGCGAATTGATCTTAGAATGTAAAAAATATAGAGGATAACTTCCTAATTCTAACCATATATGAAACGTTTAATGGAGACTAACAACCAATGAAAATGTTTTATACATATATACATATCGCGTACATACTACACGTATAACTGGACAAGCATGCCAAGATGACGTCACCATTGCTACTGCAACGACATCTTTATACAGATGTCGCTGCATTTTTCATAAGCAATATTGCATTATTCGGAAAAAAGAAATAATTAAACGCTAAATAATCGAATTTATATTAATTACTATTAATTCTTCAAATATCGATTATAATTAGATCGCATATACAACTAGGCATGCGTTTTACGTGACATAGAAACCGTCATAATATTATTAACTTTTTTTTAATCTAACTAACATGTATACAAATATGCCAAATATGTTTTATGTCTGTAGAATATTCGTTTGATTCAGTATTATTCGCAAATAAAAGTGATAGAAAACAAAGAAGAAAGAAAGAATTTCAGTTGTAAGGATTATTTTATATTTTTAGCATTTCGTAGCATTTCGTAAGACAATTTAATTTTTATCATTTTGGTAGAAATGAAAAACTATGTCTCATGTTTATGCAATTAATACTGGCGGTTATCATACAGATATCGCTATAACAGTTTATAGGTTAAGTAACAATGAATATAACAAATTCATACGACAGCTTAACAACAACTAACTGTTAAATAAAATTATATTTTATTTTTAGTAATCGCATATTTTTAATCGTATCGCATTTCAAGAAACTTGGATCATTAATAACGGTGAATCGAGAATCAGCTTTAAATCAATTTAGCAATAATATATTTTCTACGAAGTAAGTAATCTTATTTTTTAAAGTTTCTCGAACGTTTTACATCTAATACGATTGAATTTGAAATTTTCAGAGTTATTTTTGGTAAAGATGAAGTTGATGTTCATGCCGCCGCTAGATATATGGCAGAACAAATAAATATCGATAGGCCAATGTTGTTATCGATGTGTTTAAAAGATTACAATACAGAAATATTAAAAACTATAATTAATAGTATAAATGAATTGAAACTGTGGTAATATTAAGACAAATACAAAAAAATGAGTTTAATATTTGGACAATTTGTTATTGGACCTCCGGGTAGTGGAAAAACTACTTATTGTAATGCAATGTGTAAATTCTTGGAACGAATGGGTAGAAAAGTAGCTGTTATTAACATTGGTAAGTAAAAAATAATACATTACTTTATAATCATTTAATTAATAAAAATATATTTTATTATTTTCAGATCCTGCTAATGAAAATATGGAATATGTTCCATCAGTAGATATATCAGAATTAATTAAACACGAAGAAGTTATGTCAGAATGTGATCTTGGTCCGAATGGGGCATTAATCTACTGTATGGAATTTTTAGAAGCTAATATTAAATGGTTGATTACTAAAGTTTTAAATTTGAAAGATTATTATCTTATTTTTGATTGTCCAGGACAGGTATAATTATATGCACCAATAGTTAAATTATTTATACGAAAATAATATTTATATAATTAATTTTGTTATTAATAGGTTGAACTTTATACACACCATAAATCTGTTAGTTCAATAGTCGAGAAATTGACTCAGAATTTAGTGAGATTGTGTAGTGTACATCTTATAGATTCACATCATTGTAGCGATCCAGGTATATATATATATATATATATATGTTCTCTGAAAAAGATTATATACACTCACTTAAATATTTAAAGAATATATATGTGTATTTGTTTTGACTATAGGAAAATATTTGTCATCTTTAATTTTGTGTACAACCACTATGCTACAAATAGGTTTGCCTCACGTTAACATTATGACCAAATTTGATGAAATGAAAAAATTTAAGGATCAGTTAGACTTTAATATAGACTTTTATACCGAAGTACTTGATTTAAATTATCTTCTAGAGAAATTGGACGAGCATCCTTTTACTACAAAGTAAATTATTTCATTTTTTGATCATTGAAATTCCGAAATTAAATTAAATTATAAATAAAAATGATATTTCTTCTGTACAGGTATAAGAAACTAAACGCAGCTTTAATTTCTTTAGTTGAAGATTATAGTCTTGTAAGTTTCATACCATTAGATGTTACCAATCAAGCACTTTTATTACAAGTGAAAAACGCTATTGATAAAGCTAATGGTTACATTTATGGTGGAAATGAACCTCAGGATGTTCAAGCTTTATTGGCGTGTGCGGTTGGTGCTGTCAGTGAAACTAAAAACATGTCTACTATAGATTCATATTTCTGAATAAATATAATTTTTTAAAGAAATTGGATGATATTGATATTTATTATATATTTTTGTTAATACTCTCCCTTTTAAAGGTTTGAAAAACCTTAAAAAAATGTTTCCATATTCTTGAGACGCCTTTCTCTGAATCAACAGTTTACAATGTTCCAAAACGGTCAATTATCCAAGTACTATCTTTGATCATTGTTGCTTAACTTTAGTGATAAAACGGGAAAAAGTTTTTTCAACGAGGCGAGGCCATTGATTAATATTCATTAGATATATATATACATTTATATTATTTGTATAGTATAATTTTTGAATATAAAAAAAATTTACATTATAAATATGATCCTAAATAACATTTAATCCAGTTGATTAACAAAAATTTGTGCTAAATCATCGTAGTCATAAACCCTTTTTAAAAAAGTATCCATTAACTTTAAACCAGAAATAATCTATAAAATAAAGCTTGTATATATTTTTATCTATATAAAAAGATTTGTATTTATATAAAATATACTACTTACAGTAATGCCGGTATCTAATGGAATTAAACTCAAAGGTACATCAATAGAACTTCCAGGTTTTAGCGTTCCAATTATTTTATCGGATATTCCGCACCATGCAATTGAATCGCTTGATTCCAAACTTAATAATAAATCCATACTTCTTTCTCTACAATAACAAATAATAACAATTGATATATATATATATATATATATATATATATAGAGAGAGAGAGAGTTAATACATACGAAGTATTTATTATGTGACACTTGAGATTAACTTGTTCTTCGAGGAAAACTTTCAATGGAATATCTTTCATAACAACTCTTAAATCTCCGTATTCTGGTGCCTGTTTTCAAGCATAAAGAAATAATATTTCATAAATCTAATCGATTGTAAAATTTCATATACAATAAATAAATAATTGAACCATTCTTTGTAATTGACTTGTTTGCAATCGTCCTCTTTCTCCCAAATTACTTTTCCATACAATATCTAATTTGCCTATATTAGTAGCATTATGCATCATCTTGGGATCTTTTTGTAGACTCGATTGAGGTTTTAAACAATACAGATATTGTCTACTACAATTGGAATCCAATAAATTTATTTTCCCATAAATAGATTCTTCTTTTTCATTTTTATTTAATGTTGATACTAAATAAAAAAAGATTAATTATTTATTTCACGTATACTATCAATTACAAATTTTTTAGTTAGATGTTAATCCTTACCACTAAATAAATGAGATGATTCCAATGATACTTTTTCTAAACAAATAGGACCTACTGTAAGATTTTGTATTTGCGCCTCAAGGTACACCTCATCGGACTATATAAAAATCATATAAGCTATTTTGTTCACTTTAATATTACTTCTATCTAATTATTGATGCTTACTTCTGCATTATAAAATTTTGTTTTCACATCCAAAGGTTTAACTACTTGAAATTTAAAATATTTCCTGAACGATTGTGGAGGACCCATAGAATTAGCAGGCATATAGCTAACTTCGCAAACCAATCTAAAATAAAATAAAGAAATAAATTTAATTATAGAAATCTTAAATTAAATTAAAATATTAGTAAATTTTGGTTTTATTTGTTTACATATGCGTTCCTATCTCTTTAACTTCGTGATGAATAACCTCATCCACTGTATCATCAGCAGCCAATTCTTTAACTAACGAATTCCCTGATGAGAGTGAAATAATTTGGGTACTCGTTTGTAAATCTGCCTGTAAAAATGTACAATGAAATTACAATTTTTATATTTTTTTTAATAAATTTTCTTTATTTCTGGCACTTACTTTAACGGTTACATTTTTAACTACTTGATTGCTACCATTATGTACACATAAATAACTAGAAAATATTTCTCCAAGATATATATTTCTGAAATATATTAATAAACGTATATTATTATATTGTATTATACCATCATAGAATAATTGCATGTATTTAATAAATAAAGAAAAGTAATATATGATTAAAATTTGTACCCAAAACTTTGTGGTAATACCATGAATTGTCCAATAGCAAGTGTCTCCATTCCTTGTAACGCTGTACAATCATTTTTTAATTCATTGTTGAGTGTATTACCTGGTAAATCTGTTGAGTCACAAGTAACAACTATGGGACTGGCAAGAGTTGGTCTTGTCAATCTCATTACTAGAAAAAATGTATGAAACAGTTAATTTCACACATTATGTATTAACAAGTAAAATATTATATACATATCTAAATAAAATAAATTATTATTAGAGTATTATCATTATTTTTCTTTTTCAGATTATATGATATGTGAATATGTTATAACATGTGTCAAAATATTATGTATTACCTTTTAAAGCAAGTAAATATTCATTCTTTGGTTTATTTTCCATTTTTTGATAAGAAAGCTCAAAATATTGCAAATATTAACAAACTATTATTTAATTCTTATCTGCACAAACAAATATTTACCAATCCTTTTCTTATTGACAAATCTAAACAACAATTAAAATTCTTTAATCTAGAGTTCTTACAAGAGAAAAATGCTTCAGCTGTTTATAAAACTTCACCCAAAACATGTGCGACTGCAGCGACAAGTAAGGGCAAAATATGAACTAAAAATTTAAAAGCTCTAAACTGACTTTGTACTTTTGTATTCCAAACAGAAATATAACATATTTCAATAATGAAAGTTTTATGGAAAATATCTTATCCCTTATTTCTTCCTTTTATTATTGAAATTAAATATTCTGGTTTTCAATATATAATAAATTTAATCTGTTAAAAAATTAATAGAAACATTGATATCTTTTAGAAAAGAACTTTACAATTGTCAGATAAAATAGAAATCTGTATATTATTCCAAGTTTTTAATTTTATTAAGTAAATCTATATATGCTACGGAAATCAAATCTTTTGCGTTAATATTTAAGCTCTTCATTATATTTTCGGCAACTTTTGTTCCATAATCAACATCTTGATTATCCTTCAAAATAACCTGAAACAATTGTCTGTAAATACATATTTTATATGTACATGTAGCATTTGTATAAAATTATTTAATTATTAAATCATATATATATTACATACTTCTAATTCCAAAAAACTACCCAAATCATGTACATCATCAACATGTATCCGAGTTTGATCAATTGTATATAATCGTCTTGTTTTTTTGATAGTTCCTACGATACCATTGGTAGCAGACAATATTTTATCCATATCTTCATATGTTTTTGCATTTAAATCTATTTTTTTATAATCACTAAGTTTAGGACCTGTAGTATTAAGTCTTTCATAGTAAATTAATTCACCAGTTCCATCCTGTAAAATGACATAATTGTGCTTTTCGAATTACTATATCGTAAAGTATTTTTATAAAGAAATAAGAAACTAGAAAATGATACATAACAAAATAAATTGGTTATAGCTTCATTTGATATAATATTACATAAAAGAAAAGAAAATAAAAAAGGAATGTCTATAAAATAATAAAAAAGAATTTAAAATTATAGGTAATATTCGATGATTATTTTACTTATACTTACTTCAAAACGACGTAATTTTAATCTGCCTGTTTTCGATTCAAAGAAAGTATCTAATTGCTTAATTAAAATCATTTTAGTATCCGTAATTTTTTCAAGTTTCTCAATAATTGTTTTAGAATCATGGATCTTCGATTTTATTTCAACGTTCCGCATTTTTATTTTTCGATAATTTTTTTGTACGCTATATTAAAGACTACAGAAGTACATAGAAACAGCAGGTTACCGATGGTAAATAAGATAAGGGTAGAGCACTACTATTACCGATATGGTGCTGAGCCGGCCTGCCACTAACGTAACTTTTGCGAATATTTTTTCCAGGTCGATGAGTTACTATAGTGGCTCAATTCGAGTAGTTTACTTATTCACTGTTTTAATTTAATTATCGTCTTCATAGTCATTCATATTTAAGTGAAATGTTAAAGTTCAAGTATGTACAATATATTTTTAAGAAAATTTATAATTTAATCATTACAGAAATCTTTACGTAAAACATACGAACTTTTTTTATATATGGCTGAAAATTTTAAAACATTTATTTTTAAAATGCTTCGATAGTTATGATAGTATAAGATATATTCTTTGATAGTATATATAGTTTAGTTATATTGTAATAGAATTTTAAATAATTAAATTTAATTTTTAGTGGATACACATGGGTGTCCCTTCTGAACTGCATTTGAAAATATATTTTAAAAAGTAATCATTTAAGGCGTTCAAACGAAAATCAGAAACTTAGGAGTTTCTTATCGCGACCACGGCGGCACTGACTCTACTTTTTACAACTGCATTGCACGCAGTTAAAATATCAAACACTAACACATGCCTACCCTTCTGAAAAAAGAGAAAAGAAAAAGACGATTAGAATCATTGTTATCGTTTCAAAATTACAAGTAATTATTAAAGAAATGTTTAATATAAAAATAAATTTACCTTTTATCTTCAGTGATGAATGCCCGATGGGTCTTCTACCCGTAGGATGACACACGATGGCATACGTATAAATCGAATAAAAGAAATTTTCGGAGTTTCCTTACCCGAAAAAACGAAACTTTTCCATACGGTGAACAACACTGACTCTAATTTCCGATTTTTCTTTAACGATGCAARCACTCRWGTACCTCATTGCCTACGCGCTCGATTGCAATGATGTTCTGAAACAGAAAATGAAAAAGAACGATTAATAATCTTGTCGTATTTAAAAACTATTGAAATTATAGTAGACAATGTTGGATAGAAAAATTCTACTTACTTGTAGTCTCCACCGATGAATGCCCGATGGGTTTCCTACCCTTAGGATGACGATGACCAGTAGACGATAACGAAAATAAAAAACTATAATAAAGTTTTTTATCGCGACCACGAACGCGACCGAGACGTGCTTTACCGACCGCACTGCACATTAAAAACGTCTGAAAGAATGCACAAGATTAGTGTTCCTATAAAATAAATCGAGTATTTTAATGTGGGATATAATATGAATGTAGTATTAAAGTGAAAACAATGAAATGAATTGTAATATGATATTAATTAGGAAAATGAAAGAAACTAATTATCATTATAATGTTTATGGTAAGCGGTCTTTGGCTAGA